GCCCCAATTAATTCGCCGCGGGCGGTGGGGGTGGGGGCCCGTGCGGCGAGGCGCCCGCCTGGAGCCCCTTTGTGAAGGGCTGTCTGGACCATATTGATTCTACACACACACACACACACACACACACACACACACACACACACCTCCCTCCTTCCTTCGTACCAAAAAGAAAAACAAGTCTTGAAAAGCCCTGGACTTCCAGAGTTTAAAGTTTGATCAAACTCGCACCCCAACCCCCACCAATTGCATTGGCTTTCAGAGGGGAGGGGCCCATGGACCGCTTGGTCTCCAGGTTGTCGGGAAAGGGTTCCACGGGATTTCTCGCCCACAAAGGCAACAGATCGCTACTGTGTAGCTATCGGCCCATCCCTAGGTTGACTCCCAGCTGCGCCAGAGACTGGCCTGGCCGTGGGACGTCGGGTAAGTCTTTGCACCTCCGTTTCCTCCTCTGGCACCTGGAGATCGCTCAGAAGACGTCTGGCTCCTCCGTTTGTTCTGTTGGATGAGCTGACTCCGTGGGAAAGCTCTCAGAAGGCTACCACCCTAGCGAGTATTTAACAAAGGTTCTCCCTGTAAACAGCATTTCATGGCAAACCCATTTCTAAATGAGGATCCGCCCGGCCATGATCCCGGTGTTTGCTTCCAAGGCGCACATGTCGCAGAAGGAAATCTGCCGGTGCGCTTGTGAGCGCTCAGTGGGCCGGCCGGGCGTGGAGCGCGCTCTGCGGGCTGCGGCTCCCAGAGGCTCCCGGGTGGGACTGGAGGCTCTTCCCCCGTCTCTCCCCACCTCCCCTCCCCTTCAGTAAGGACAGCGAGCAGCCAGGAACCCTCAATCTCGAAACCTTTTGCGTGGAACCCAGCGCGGAGCCAAGCGGGCGATTTCCCAGCGTTCCTGGGGGCGCATCGATTGGACTGACCTCACCGTGGGGTCACTTGTCTCCTTCATCGATCAACCAAACGAAATCCGGGACACACATCTAGGTGGAAGGAAAGCGTCCGTGTAAAGCTGGCGGGAGTGGCCCTGCTGGCGAGGGAGGGCCCGCAGGTGTCCCAAGCGGGTTCCACTCCCACGCAGCGTTTTCGGGGAAACGAGCTTCTCATCCCACGCACCGTTATTCCGTCAGTAGCTCCTTTTTTGGTTCTGTTGTGTTTTTAAAACAAAAACCAAACAAACAAGAATTAGTTTATTCAACCAACAAACCTTCAAACAACACACTGCGCTGGGCGCTGGGGTCCTATGTGGAGAAGGGTCTGCAGGGAAACTGAAAGCCGCGGCAGCAACCTTCTCTGCAGCCACTTGGAGCGACGGACTCTGGGCGAGACTCCCTCGCCACCTGCCCCGCTTCCTGTGAGGAGTGGCAGACATGTTCCGTCCTGGGCGAGATGCGTGCCCTGAATGGGAGAAACGGATGGGAGAGTCTATAGCTACATCCTTCATCACCGCCACAAGTTCAGGTGTGAGAAGTCCTTTGCGTTTGGCCCGGTCAGTAGGGCCTTGGGGATTTCCTGGGCTCTCAGATGCTGCCTCTTCCAGGGAGTGAAAACCACCCAGCCCCCGCCTCTCCCCAGTACACAGAGGCGCTGGGGCTGGACTGACCTGG